TAATTTAATAAAAAAAAAAAAAAAAAGAAACTGTTCCTAAGTAGAAAACATCTGCGATCGCAAGTCAGTCTTTTTTTGGCTATTGGTTTTCTTCTTCTTCCTCCTCCTCCTCTTCCTCCTCCTCCTTTCTTCAAATGACTTCTCACGAGGCAACGGGCACGGGCGGCTTTTCTGCACGGCCCCCTCCTTCCCCTGCGCACCCCTCGTGCCCCCCGCCCGTCCCCGAGGGCCCCTAGTCCTTGACCAACTTGTACACGTGGTGCTGGGCGCTGTGCTCGCCGAAAACGAAGGCGATGCAGAGCAGGGTTTCCTGGGTATCCCTGTTGGTGACAACCTGCAGCAGGGCAGAGAGCGCGTCAGGAGGGAGCCGTGCCCGTGGGGGGATGCTGTTATCTGGGGGGTTGCACAGGCTCATGCACAGACACTTCATTTGCACCATCAGGATTTGCTCCCTGCAATTCAGGGGGTTGCACAGGCTCAGGCACTTTAATTGCACCACCAAAAATACACCACCCAGATTTTTTTGGGGGGGGGGTTGCATGGGCTCAGGCACTAGCACTTTAATTTCACCACCAAATATTTGCTTCCCATTATTTGGGAGATTTGCACGGGGGCCCAGGCACAGCCACTTTATTTGCACCATCAGGATTTACTCCCTGTAATCCAGGGGGTTGCACAGCCTCAGGCATGGCCATTTTCATTGCACCACCAAAAATTTGCCACCGATTTCTTGGGGAGGTTGCACAAGCTCAGGCACAGCTACTGCATTTGCACCACCAAAAATTTGCTACCCATTATTTGGGAGATTTGCACGGGGGCTCGTACACAGCCACTTTATTTGCACCATCAGGATTTGCTCCCTCCCTGTTATCCAGGGGGTTGCATGGGCTCAGGCACAAGCACTTTAACTGCACCAAAAAAATTTGCCACCCAGTTTTTGGGGAGGTTGCACAGCCTCAGGCACAGCCATTTTAATTGCACCCAAAAAAATTTGCCACCCAATTTTTGGGGGGGGTTGCACGGCCAGTGTATCTGCACTGCCGAGGGCGGGTGCCCCGGGGCCGGGCAGCGTGCAGGAGGGATGCTGGGGTCAGTGCAAGGGTGGGCTCCGCGCTCCTGGTGGGAAACGCTCCCTGGAAAAGGCGGGGAGGTACCTGCAGGATGGTGAAATTCTCCAGGACGCTGTTCATCATGTACTTCTCCGGGAGGTGCTTGAGCTTGTGGATGAAGTTGATCATGTACTCGCACATGGGCGAGCGGTGGATGCGGTAGACGAAGTTCCCCAGCCGCGCGTACTCTGTCTGCGGGGACAACCGGCGTGAGCATCCCACCGGGACGTGGTGGAGATGTCCCCACCGCTCCACCCACGGACAGCCACCCACCTGCGTGTCCCACACCCAACCCTGGGGCTTTCTTCATCCTGGGACCCAAAATTCCTCAATTCCTGTTCCTTCCCACCGCGGTTGGACTCACCTCCACCTTCTCCACGACCTGCTTCCCGAAGGAGCACACCTTGGTGGAGACCGTGATGGTCATGTTCTCTGCGCTGCTGTACTGGCTGCTCACGCCGTAAAAAGTCCCCGGCCCGTCCTGGATCGTGCTGTTCAGATCCGCCTGGAAGGATGAAGATGGGGAGAGGGTCCCATTAGGTCCCATCACACCCTTGATGGGGACAGGGGACACTGGCTCACGGAGCTGCTCAGGATGCTCCACCACCAAGATGCCCAACCTGCAACGGACCCTCCCCATCCTCCTCTTCCTCCCAGCGTCGTACCCAAAATTTGACGAGGAAGAAGGAGTTTTGGGGTCCCCGCTCATAGAGTTCCTTGAGGCCACCTTTCTTCTCGGGGAATTTGTCATAGATCTGGCGGATGTCCACGGCCTCCAGCAGCGGATCGCTGTACGAGGGGTTCGTCTGCCCGATGTGCACAAAGAGGTGTT